GAGTAGCTGGGATTACAGGTGTGTGCCACACCTGGCTAATTTTGTATTTTTAGTAGAGATGGGGTTTCACTGGTCTTGAACTCCTGACCTCAAGTGATCAGCACACCTTGGCCTCCCAAAATGCTGGGGTTACAGGCATGCGCCACCGCTTGGCCGTCAGCTGTTTTTTGTTTTTTTTTTTAAGAGACCGGGTCTCCCTATGTTCTCCAGGCTGGAGTACAGTGGCTATTCACAGGCGCAATCCCACTACTGATCAGCACTGGAGTTTTGACCTGCTCCATTTCCGACCTGGGCCCGTTCACCCCTCTTTAGGCAACCTGGTGGTCCCCCGCTCCCGGGAGGTCACCATATTGATGCCGAACTTTGTGCGGACACCCGACTGGCATAGCCCACTACAGCCCAGAAATCCTGAGCTCAAGCGATCCTCCCACCTCAGTCTCCCGAGTAGCTGGGACTACAGGTAGGCACCACCGCGCCCGCGTCAGCTGTTTTTAAAATTGATCTGATTAATGAAGGTTTTTGTGTTTATGAACTGGGTCTCTGTCACCCATGCCAGAGTGCAGTGGTGCAATCATATGTCACTGCAGCCTCAGGCTCCTGTGCTCCAGCCATCCTCTTGCCTCACCCATCTGTGTAGCTGGGACAATTGGCATATACCACCATACCCCAGCTATGTTTTTTATTTTTATTTTTTTGAGATGGGGTTTAACCAGGTTGGCCAGGGTGGTCTCAAACTGCTGACCTCAGGTAATCCACCCTCCTCGCCTCCCAAAGTGCTGGGATTACAGGCATGAGCTACCAAGCCCAGCCAATAAGTTTCGATAAAAATAAAATGTTTGGAGAAAAGAGAGAAAACATTCTGGAAACAAACAAGAGCCAAGTAGAAGCAGCCATTAAGCTCATTTAATAAGAATCAAATGTTAGGTTTCTCATTCTGAGTTTTTATGTTGAATATATGTATGTGTGTGTGTGTGTGTGTGTATATATATATATATATTTAATTTTAATCCCGATGCCCCTATGTTGAATATATTATCCATTGAACAGGGTGTGTTTCAAAACTTGTACCACTCACTGTTGTTGAAGGCAGCAGTTTCCATGTCTGAATTCATACATACTGTTCAGGTAATTGTATTAAAAAAATTTTAAGGCAAAGGGTCTCACTGTATTGTCTAGGTTGGTCTCAAACTCCTAGCTTCAAATGATCCTCCTGCCTCGGCTCCCTGAAGTGCTGGGGTAACAAGCATGAACCACTGTGCCTGACCATTTTCTACCTTTTTTTTTTTTTTTTTTTGTGACAGGATCTCACTTTGTCACCAGGCTGGATTACAGTGGCATGATCATGGCTCACTCACTGCACCCTCGACTTCCCAGGCTCAAGTGATCATCCCACCTAAGCCCTCTGAGTAGTTGGGACTATAGGCATATGCCACTACGCCCTGAGTTCAAGTGATCCTCATGCCTCGGCCTCCCAAAATGCTGGGATCACAGGCATGAGCCACCGCGCCCAGCCTCAGTAATTCTTAATTCTATTTCTTCTGCTTGAAACATTTAAAGAAGATAACTTTAAAAATTAACTATGTAGGCCAGGCACAGTGGCTCATACCTGTAATCCCAGCACTTTGGGAGGCCAAGGTGAGCAGATCACCTGAGGTCAGGAGTTTGAGACCAGCCTGGCCAACATGGTTAAACCCTGTCTCTACTAAAAATGCAAAAACTAGTGAGGCGTGGTGTCGGGCACCTGTAATTCCAGCTACTCAAGAGGCTGAGGCAGGAGGATGGCTTGAATCCCGGAGGTAGAGGATGCAGCGAGTGGAGACTGCACCATTGCACTCCATCCTGGGTGACAGAGTGAGACTTCATCTCAAAAAAAAAGAAAAGAAAAAAAGGACGATTTCCAAATGTGAATAACCAAGTCCAAGATTATATGCCATGGGTTATTTCTACATTTAACATAATTGTGCTGTTCAACCAGTAAGAGTAAAACCCAGAAAGGCAAAAAGAAAAAGGAAAATGCATGAAACTGCAGTTTGGTTTTTTTTGAGATGGAGTTTTGCTCTTGCCCAGCCTGAAATGCTGTGGTGCTCGGCTCACTGCAACCTCCACCTCCTAGGTTCAAGGAATTCTCCTACCTCAGCCTCCTGAATAGCTGGGATTACAGGCGCATGCCACCATGCCCAGCATGCACACCTTATTTTAATGTCACCGTATGAAAGCATTTCCGGCTGGGCATAGTGGCTTATGCTTGTAATCTTAGCACTTTGGGGGCTGAGACAGAATTGCTTGAGGCCAGAAGCCTATGCAACAAAGTGAGACTTCGTCTTTACAAAAAAAAATCTATAAAAAAATTAGTATGTATCACTTGATGCCTAATAGGGAATTCTGTACTTTTTGCAATTGAACATTTGTTTACTTGCAATCTACAAAACAAAAGAAATAAAACAGTTGGTGGGTCACAGAGTTTGATCCCAAAGGAGTAAACTTTTTATTTAAAGGGTGTCCCGAGTGAATAAACTTCGTTTTTATTTTACTTTTTTTTTTTTTTTTTGAGACGGAGTTTCGCTCTTGTTACCCAGGCTGGAGTGCAATGGCGCAATCTCAGCTCACCACAACCTCCGCCTCCTGGGTTCAGGCAACTCTCCTGCCTCAGCCTCCTGAGTAGCTGGGATTACAGGCACACACCACTGTGCCCAGTTAATTTTTTGTATTTTTAGTAGAGACGGGGTTTCACCATATTGACCAGGATGGTCTCCATCTCTTGACCTCGTGATCCACCCGCCTCGGCCTCCCAAAGTGCTGGGATTACAGGCGTGAGCCACCGCGCCGGGCCTATTTTACATTTTTTGAGACACAGTCTCACTCTGTCGCCAGGCACCAGGCTGGAGTGCAGTGGCACGATCTCAGCTCACTGCAACCTCCACCTCCCAGGTTCAAGCAATTCTCCTGCCTCAGCCTCCTGAGTAGCTGGGACTACAGGCGCACGCCATCATTCCCTGCTAATTTTTGTATTTTTAGAAGAGACGGGGTTTCACCATGTTAGCTTGAGCCACTGCGCTTGGCCTCATTTTTTTTAATAAAGGAAGGCCAGGTGAGTGGCCCATGCTTGTAATCCCGGCACTTTTGGGAGGCTGAGGTGGGTGTATCATAAGGTCAGGAGTTCAAGACCAGCCTGGTGAAACCAGGTGAAACCCTTTCTCTACTAAAAATACAAAAATTAGCTGGACATGGTGGCACACGCCTCTAGTCCCAGCTACTTAGGAGGCTAAGGCAGGAGAATTGATTGAACCTGGGAGGCAGAGGTTGCAGTGAGCTGAGATCACACCATTGCACACCAGCCTGGTGATAGGGTGAGCCTCCATTTCAAAAAAAAAGAAGTGAAGGGAAGCCTTGATGAGAAAACAGTTCCTATTTTAAAACATTTAAAAGTGTCCTCATTTCACAATCAATCACAGTGACACCAAAAGGGCATGGCTGTTTGTCAGGGTTTTAATTGCTCCATTAAGACAGTGTTACTTAGACTGGATGCAGATGGTTTGTCTTTCAAGAACTCTTTTTTCTTTTTTCGCAAGAACTTTTTTTTTGGGACTCTGAGCACCAACCCAAAGGATCACAAGCCCTGATTTCATTGTTTCCTGGGAGCAGAATTAGAGCTGAGTTCCGGCCTAGCTTTATGTATTTTTTCAAGCTCTGCTTCTAATCTTGTGCATCAACAACCTACTTTGGCATTTAAAAAAAAAAAAAAGTAAGGCCGGGCTCGGTGGCTCACGCCTATAATCCCAGCACTTTGGGTGGCCGAGGCGGGTGGATCACGAGGTCAAGAGATCTAGACCATCCTGGTCAACAAGGTGATACACTGTCTCTATTAAAAATGCAAAAATTAGCTGGGCATGGTGGCGCGCGCCTGTAGTCACAGCTACTTGGGAGGCTGAGGCAGGAGAATTGCTTGAACCCAGGAGGCGGAGGTTGCGGTGAGCTGGGATTGCGCCATTGCACTCCAGCCTGGGTAACAAGAGCGATACTCCGTCTTAAAAAAAAAAAAAAAGAAAAAGAAAGAAAAGAAAAAGTATTGGGGGTTGGGCACAGTGGCTCACGCCTGTAATTCTAGCACCTTGGGAGGCTGAGGTGGGTGGATCACGTGATTGATTAGTAGTTCAAGACCAGCTGGCCAACATGGCAAAACCCCCTCTCTAACAAAAACAGAAAAAAATTAGCTGGGCGTGGTGGCTCCTTCCTGTAGTCCCAGCTGCTCATGGGGCTGAAACAGAATTGTCTGAACCTGGGAGGTGGAGATTACAGAGAGCAGAGATCACGCCTTTGTACTCCAGCCTGGGCAACGAGAAAAACTCTGTCTCAAAAAAAAAAATGTATTAGGGGCTGAGTATGGTGGCTGACACCTGTGACTCCAGCACTTTGGGAGGTTGAGGCTGGAGGACCACTTGAGCCCAAAAGTTTGAGACCAGCCTGAGCAACAAACTGAGACCCCTGGCTCTACAAAATATTTTTTAAAATGTAGGCCTGGTGCAGTGGCTCACCCCCTGCAATTCCAGCACTTTGGGAGGCTGAGGTAGGCGAATCACCTGAGGTCAGGAGTTTGAGACCAGACTGACCAACATGGAGAAACACCATCTCTACTAAAAATACAAAATTAGCCGGGCGTGGTAGCACATGCCTGCAATCCCAGCTACTTGGGTGGGTGAAACAGGAGAATCGCTTGAACCCTGGAGATGGAGGTGTGGTGAGTGGAGACTGCACCATTGCACTCTTGCCTGGGCTCAAAAAAAAAAAAATCTGCCCACTGCAGCATGCACCTGTAGTCCTAGGTACTCAGGGGGGCTGAGGTGGGAGGATTGCTAGAGCCCAGGAGTTCAAGGTTATAGTAAGCTATGATCACACCACTGTACTCCAGCCTGGGTGACAGAGCAAGACCCTGTCTCAAACAATAAAAACCATCAGGATGACAATGGCATTAATAAAAACACAAGAACCACCAAGACCACACATAAAATAAGACATATTTATTAAGCTAAAGAACAAATTTTATTTTTCGTTTCCTCCAAACACTAAAATAGCACATGGCATAATTCGGCACACAATATAAACTGGTATATGCAATCAGTAATCCCCAAAATGGTTAAGTCTCACTTTGGGAGTCCTTAAAAACTTATGCCCTTAAATTATCGTTATTAAAGTTATCAGCAGACAACAAAAGGAGTCACCTGAAAAATCTGAGGGCACAAGATACTGCAATTCCTAGAATCCGGGAAACTTTTTAGAAGGGAAGTAACTTGATTTGCTTCTCTGTAATGGAGCTACCTCTTTCTCAAGCTCTTTTTCGTTGAAGGTAACACTGCTAGGGTTCCGAGTTTGAGAAGGGACTCCTCGAAAGGTAAGCTTAATATTGCAACTTTCACCCCAGGGCCTCTGTCTAAATCACATTTCACGTGAAAGGAAAGGGGTGTGAGAAGGGAAATCGAATTCTGCTGCACACGAAAACCATCTACAAAATGCAGAAATGGTAACAGCTTACTACGAATTCAGCAAGGCTTAATGCCAAGTACAGCGGTGTAAACTTCACGAATATCCACTTCCATTGGGTGATCAGACAAGCCGAAGGAACACACAGGACTTCGGACAGTAGCCCTTTAGAATGAGTGTTGAAGACAGAATTTCATGGTAAATCTGTATGTTCTAATCTGATATTTATACAGGCTATGATAGTCTCCTGAAATGTTTCCCAGTTCTTTATGTCTTTGAAAGCACAATTTAACACATGCTAAAAAAGTTTCTTCCACATCAACCAGCTTTGAATTTCAACTCAATTTACTTGAAGTCTGTCGAGTCATAAAAAACCACAGCAGGAACTGAAGGGCTGCACGGTTTGCATCCAGACTTAATGGGAAAGAAATCGTTCTAAGACAACTCTTAAAATTAACCTATTTTTATTGTTCTGCTTGGACCTTAACTATGGCATAATGAATTTGCTAATTCAAAAGGTTGCAGAACCAGTAACCCCAGTGTCATCTGGAGACTATTTGAGGTGCTTTTAAGCATTTTCTTGAATTCTACTGTTTGCTTTGAAAACATGGACTTTAAACAGTCAAGGAAAACTCGTTCTGTCTCATCATCCAGGAGCACTTCTAGACACACGTGCAGCACTGCAGACAGGACGGAGTGCAGGCAAGAGGGTTCCAACTCAGAGCCCAGACACTCGGGAAAATCACTTGGTGGGTCATCCTGACAACTTCCCATTTCCAGCAGTTTTTGATGGTGTGGCAGTCCTGACACCTGAGGCTCTCCTTTGGGGCACTGTCCTCTGTGGCCGTCGGCCTCAGGCCCTCCTCCTTGCCAGTCCCACCTCAGAGCTTCAACACCACTGCAGGACACCCCAGCAAAACACTCTGTTGGAGCAGAGAACAAACCCATGGCTGCGCTCAGAGTGGCTACTGAGGCTAGATTTCTTCTTATTAATTCTTTCACATGTGGAAACACTGGGTCACCACTGTGAAGCCAGAGGCCAGCCCCACTAGGATCCTTTCTCATTTCCAGTGATAATGCAGCACTCTGTGACTTTCTGTCAACCGCAGGCTTATTGATCCAGGAGGGTGCATCTGCAGGCCAGGGGCCCTCCTTCAGCATTCTTTTCTTAAGGCTGTGTAACAGTTTGTCCAAATCACCTCCTCTGGCCCGCTGCACTGGTGCCAGGCAGGTGCCAAGGGGCCCTCTTTTGTCCCTCATGCTTCGTGTTCTTGGATGGGATGGGCCTGAGGTCACGCCTGTGTCAGTCCAGGAGGGCCTTCAATGGATCTCAATATGAACCTAGGAAAGGGGATCAGATTAAAGTTCTAAAATGAAGACAGATGGGTCTTAAGAGCATCTACACCCACTAATTATTTCCTAACAAACACTAAGATCTTTCTCACAGTCTCTGGTACTATGGAGTCCTAATTGTGACAGAAAACAGAATGATAATCTGTACCCACTAGAAATCACAAAAAGAATAGTACTTTGTTAATAGCCATTCCTGAAAATATATTTATATATATTCCTGAAAAAAAAAATATATATATGGAATAATTTTTGAGACAGAGTCTCACCCTGTCACCCAGGCTGGAGTGCACTGGCGTGATCTCAGCTCATTGCAACCTCCGACTCCCACGTTCAAGCAATTCTCCTGTCTCAGGAGAAGCTGCAACTACAGGTGAATGCCACCACGCCCAGCTAATTTCCATATTTTTAGTAGAGATGGGTTTCACCATATTGGTCAGGTGGGTTTTGAACTCTTGCCCTCAGGTGATCCACCCACCTCAGCATCCCAAAGTGCTGGGATTACAGGTGTGAGCCACCACATCCGGCTGTATTTATATTTTTTAACATATATGTTATATTTATATTTAGAGAAAAGGTCTTTCTATGGTACACAGGCTGGAGTAGCTGGGATTACAGGTGCCTGCCACCATGCCCCGCTAATTTTTGTTTTGTTTTCAAGATTATAAAAACTTCCTCTTTAATCAAGGCTTATAACATGAACAGATTTCTTGAATAAAATGGAAAGTTTCCAGTATACTGAAACATAAATCCACAAGTCACCATACATACAAAACCCGGCAGAAAAAAACAAAAAGAAGTTTACACAATCCCTGTAACAGCCATGGTCTTAATCTCAGATGCTTCCTCCATCTGCCAAGTGTGTTCTAGATACACAGCACACTAGCTTCTGGGGTCACACTCAGCTGAGGCTGTGGGTCCACAGAGCACTCATCTGGCTGGGCTATGGTAGTGGTGGCTCTCCTTAAGAAGCAAAGCAGTTACCAGCATATTCAAACAGTGTATTGAACATCTTTTAAATATCAAAGTGAGAAACAAGAAGGCAACACAATAACGTCATCAGAAAGATGTTAGCAAGTAAGGACAGATGTGTAAAGCTTGAGGCTGAAAAGTGGCTTGCCAGCTTCATTTCTTCGGCTTCTTGGGTAGTGGGAGCTGGAACAGTAAGATATGAAATTTTGGTTCACAGATCATATAATGGACCCAACCCTGACTCTGCTGAACGCCAAGATTCCTCCATTCAGATTCAGACATCAAATGGGTTTTAGGGACCAGCTTGGCTATGTCCTTGGGCAGCAGGACATGCCGATATTCAAACTCCTCATCGTCGTATTTGTCTGAATAGTAAATTTGTTTGTGCAACATGATTGCTCCGTCTGCTAGCCTTCAGCCCCGCACTGCCAACCTCTAAGCAACTCCCAGCAGCACCAATTTTTCTATTTTTAATAGACACGTGGTTTCACCATGTTGGTCAGGCTGGTCTCAAACTCCTGACCTCAGGTGATCCACCAGCTTCAGCCTCCCAAAGTGCTGATTACAGGTGTGAGTCACCATGCCCAGCCTGGTGCAGAACATTTCTTAGGCTTAGTTTTCCACCCTCTAATTAGCAAATAATAGAGGCTTTTTTTTTTTGAGACAGAATTTTGCTCTTGTTGCCCAGGCTGAACTGCAGCAGCACGATACTGGCTCACTGCAACATCCGCCTCCTGGGTTCAAGTGATTCTCCCGCCTCAGCCTTTGAGTAGCTGAAATTACAGGTGCCCACCACCATACTTGGCTAATTTTTTGTGTGTTTTTATTATTTAGTAGACATGGGGTTTCACCATGTTGGCCAGGTGAAATTAGCCAGGCGTGGTGGCAGGCATCTGTAATCCCAGCTACTCGGGAGGCTGAGGCGGAAGAATCGCTTGAACCTGGGAGGTGGAGGTTGCAATAAGCCGAGATCATGCCACTGCACTCCAGCCTGGGCGACAGAGCAAGCCTCCATCTCAAAAAAAAAAATTTTGAAAAGCTGTGAAATGAACAAAAAATAAGATGACTGGGCATGCTACCTAGTGCATCCTTTGGGTTATGTAATTTTATAGGGGCCAGCACCTTCATTGTCTCTGAGCTGCTTTACAACTCTGTCGTTTGCCAAAAACCTCAAGAGTAAAGCAAACAAGTTCCTGTCCAAAGAAAATAGTTTAATTAAGCTAATCAGACTATTTTAATTAGACTAATTAAGTTAGTCTCATGGAATTCAATGGATTACTGCCCTATGGATACTGACCAGCTCTGCATCTATCGGTAAATTCACTTTTGAGTATTATTTGAATTTTCCTTTAAACTGTTTATAATATTACATTAGTTCCCTCTTTAAATGAGTTAAATGTAATTTTAACACATGATGTGTTCACATAAAAAACAACCACACCCTCAGCCAGGCGTGGTGGTTCACACCCATAATCTCAGCAGCTATAGTCCCAGATACTCAGGAAGCTGAGGTGGGAGGACTGCTTGAGCCTGGGAGGCAGAGGTTGCAGTGAGCTGAGATTAAGTCACTGCCTTCTGACCTGGGTGACAGAGTCAGACTCTGTTTCAAAAATAAATAAATAAATAAGGATCAACAATGAGAGGATCAGCTACAGCTGAAAGTGGCTGATGGGGACAGAGAAATGGCAGGTAAGAAACTGCTGTTTCTCTAATCTTATGGAACTAGGAGACTCTTGATGCTACGTGGATGTATAACCGCATTTAGATTTGTTGTAAATTTTGGCCAGGCGCGGTGGCTCATGCTTGTAATCCCAGCACTTTGGGAGGCTGAGGTGGGCGGATCACTTGAGGTCAGGAGTTCGAGACCAGCCTGGCCAACATGGTGAAACCCCATCTCTACTAAAAATACAAAAATTAGTCAGCCATGGTGGCAGGTGCCTGTAATCCCAGCTAGTAGATAGGCTGAAGCAGGAGAATCGCTTGATTGAACCCGGGAGGCAGAGGTCGCAGTGAGCCAAGATCCCACCACTGCACTCCAGCCTAGGTGACAGACAGACAGCAAGACTCCATCAAAAAAAAAAAAAAAAAAAAATTCTTTTAAATTTTAAAGAGTATACTGGGAAGAAAACGGAGGGTGCAGTTATTATTGGAAGCTGAAGGAGAAAGCAGAGAGTTGAGTGAAAGAGGCCCTGGGATGTGTCACGGGGAGCCAGGGATGGGAGCCAGCCAGGAAGCCTCTGCAAGGACAGGATGTCTGGATTTGTATTTCAGATGAATTATTCTGGCTGCACCATGATGGACAGACTGGAAATGGTTCAGAATAGACACATACCAGTTAGGAGGCTATTCCAATAGAGCAAGAAAAAGAAAGAAACAAGGCTGCAATCATAAGAAGGAGCAGACTCAAGTTTCGTATTGTTTTTGAGATGAGATCTCACTCTGCCACCCAGGCTGGAGGACAATGGTGTGATCACAGCTCACTGCAGCCTTGAACTTCTAGGCTCAACCAACCTCCCGACTCAGCCTCCTGTATTACTGGGATGACAGGCAGGCACCACCATATCTGGCTAATTTTTTTTTTCCAGAGCAGGAACATAAGTTTATTAAAAAAGCTCTAGAGCGGGAAAGAAAGGAAAGGGCACTTCAAAGAGATCCAAGTGGGTGCCTTGATGAATGAGTTTTTTTTTCTTGTAGAGACCGGGTCTCCTCATGTTGCCCAGAGTGGTCTCAAACTCCTGGCCTCTTAAGTGATCCTCCTGCTTCAGCCTCCCAAGTAGCTGGGATTATAGGTGTGAACCACTATGCCCAGCTAAAGCATTTTTTTAAAGTTGGCAACTGACCGGGCCCAGAGGCTCACGCCGGTAATCCTAGCACTTTGGGAGGCCTAGGTGGGTGGATCACCTGAAGTCAGGAGTTTGAGACCAGCCTAACCAACATAGTAAAACCCTGTCTCTACTAAAAATACAAAAATTAGCTGGACATGGTGGCACATGCCTGTAGTCCCAGCTACTCGGCAGAAGAACAGCTTGAGCCCTGGAGGCAGAGATTACAGTGACCCCAGATCACGCCATTGCACTCCAGCCTTGGTGACGAAGTGAGACTCTGTCAAAAATAAAAATAAAAATAAAAATAAAATAATAAAGTTGGTGACTAACTCAATGCAGAAGGTGGTGAGAAGACTCACAGGCTTCTTCTGACTTTCAATTTTGGGTGATGAAAGTGTCCGTAACTGTAAACGGGAGGAGCAGCAGGTCCAGAGGGAAGGGAAGTACAGATTGGGAAACACAAGAGTTTGACTGTGCAACTTGACCAGGATGGTCTCAATCTCTTGACTGTGATCTACCCACCTCGGCCTCCCAAAGTGCTGGGATTATAGGCGTGAGCCACCTCACCTGGCCAGTATATTTCAATATATATTGAAATAGGTATTTTAATTATTATTTTTTTTTTTCTGAGACGGAGTCTCACTCTATCTCACCCAGGTTGGAGTGCAGTGGCATGATCTTGGCTCACTGCAGCCTCTGCTTCTCTAGCTCAAGCAATTCTCCTGTTTCAGCCTCCTGGGTAGCTGAGACCACAGGTGTATGCACCACGGACGGCCCTGCTAGTTTTAGCTGTGTCTTCTCCCCTTTGGGACTAGCCTTGCCAGCCCATTAATTTTGTATTTTTAGTAGAGATGGGGTTTCACCATGTTGGGCAGGCTGGTCCAGACCTCAGGTCTCCCAAAGTGCCGGGATTACAGGTGTGAGCCACTGCACTCGGCTGGTATTTCAATTCTTAAGAAAAACAGGTCATATAATATGGGACAGCACTCAGATAAATTAGTTTCTAACCATTTTTAGTAAGTCCTTGTACAAGGATTTAGCATTGTTCAGAAGTGAAGCATTTCTTGTATTGTGTTAGAGTACCTTAAATAAGGTACCATTTTGATTTCATTT